CATTGTGTGTTTGTGAAAAAATTTTCGGATGGTAAATTTATTATTCTTTTGCTTTATGTTGATGACATGTTAATTGTGGGTCAAGATTCTACCATGATAAACAGGTTGAAATTGGAGTTGAGCAAGTCTTTTGCTATGAAAGATTTGGGACCGGCAAAGCAAATTCTTGGTATGAAAATTGTTCGTGATCGCAAAGAGGGGCTGATTTGATTGTTTCAAGAAAGTTACATTGAGAAAGTTTTTGAGAGGTTCAACATAAATAAAGCAAAGCCGGTTGGTTGTCCACTTGCGGGTCACTTCAAACTTTGTTCGAATCAATGTCCTACAAGTGAGAAAGACAAGGAAGAGATGTTGAAAATTCCTTCTGCTTCAATAGTTGGTTCCTTGATGTATGCCATGGTTTGTACAAGGCCGGATATTGCTCACACCGTTGGTGTGGTGAGTCGTTTTCTCTCTAATCCGGGTAAAGAACATTTGGAAGCAGTAAAATGGATTCTAAGATATCTTCGAGGGACTTCAAAGGTGTGTTTGTGTTTTGGGGATGGTAAGTCGATGCTTGATGGGTTCACAGATTCTGACATAGCCAGTGATGTTGATTCTAGGAAATCTACTTCGGGGTATTTGATGACTTTTGTAGGGGGAGCAGTGGCATGGCAATCTAAATTAAAAAAATGTGTTGCTCTCTCAACTACCGAAGCTGAATTTATTGCCATTACGGAAGCTTGTAAAGAAGAGTCATGGTTGAAGAAATTTTTGCAATAGTTGGGTTTGAAGCAAGAAAAGTATGTGCTTTATTGTGATAGTCAAAGTGCTATTCATTTGAGTAAAAATTCTACTTTTCATTCAAGATCGAAACACATTGATGTGAGATACCACTGGATTCATGATGTGTTAGATTCGAAGTTGTTGTAACTCGAAAAGGTTCACACGGATGATAATATTTCGAATATGTTAACTAAGACTTTGTCGAGGGACAAACATTTGAAGTGTCGAACTTTGGCGGTTATGGTTGATGTCTCCACCTAAGTCGATAGGGGGAGAATTGTTGGGGTATATCTCCTTAGTGGAGTTTGGAACCCAATTGCTTTGTTAAAAGAATTCTAATTTGGTTTGGTTTAGGTATAATATATTTTATATATCATATCTAATTTGTGGAGACCCAATTTAGTTTGGTAACAACTAGGGTTTTGATAAAACAAACCCAAAATTTAACAATATATAAATATATTGTTTAGTTCTTCCGGATTGGTGTAGCAGCAGCAGCAATTCCTTTTCGGTGAGAGTGCTTGGTGTATCAATCAATTTGGTGGGATTTGCTTTGTGGAACAACAACTAATTGATTTATGGGACAGAGTGCTTCGGGTATTCATATACCTATATTTTGGTGAGAGAAAATCTAGATGCTATGGAATTCAACTTTGGTGGGTTTGTTCTGGAAGCATAGTGTCTCTGATTTGGTGCTAGTTTGATTCAGTTTTTGGATCTTCTACAATTTTGTTACGAAGATTTTTGTTCATCTATTTGGTGAGGTTTTTCCTCTTGTTTATTTATGATTATTTAGAATTCACCTAAGGGTGGTTTGTAAGACCATTTGTGTCTCGTTTGTAATCGTTTGGAAACTTTTTGGTTAATAGTGGAATCGGACTTCGATCCCGTGGCCGTACCTCACATTAAGGGAACCACGTAAAAATTCTTGTGTTGCCTTTGATTTAATTTTTTCGCATTAGTTTTTATTCTCATTGATTGATTTACTTGTGGGAAATCACATATTTTCCCTAACAGAGCTGAGTTCGAGCTCGAATGAAGTTTTGAGTTGAACGTTTGAGCTCGATAAACAAATGCAATAGGCTCGGCTCAGCTCATTTGTACTCTTAAATATGACATGATTTCATTTTTCAAAATTTCAAATATATACCAAACATTGATAGGGGAAAAAAATGTAACCTGAGAGGACTCCTTGTATACTATCCATGATAACTGATAAACAAACCAGAGGAGCCATGGCCGTGACATAATCCACGACTTCTTTCTCGTTGCTGAAGGTGTAGCCAAAGACGCACCTAAAGGCAAAGAGGGTTGCACTCACAACTGTAGTCTCTGTGACTGCAAGGAACATTACGGCAAATACAGCTACACGAGCCCCTTGCAGATTCCCAGCTCCTAATTCATTTGAAACTCTAGTGCTAAAAAACATCAAAGAAATAAAGAGCAGTTACATAGATATCTACGAAACACCTACACTTTAAAATAAGTTCCGTATCCATGTCAGATATATAGGCATTTCGGGAACACGCATATATGGCAAGGACAAGTATGGGACATGCCACATGACGTATCCTCTTATTTAATTAATTTATTTTTAAGAGACACGCCAGATACACTTTGGGGACACACTAGGAAGGGACATGTCAACTTATCTTTTTTCTCATTTTCTTTAGTGTTTTTGATGAATATTGAATGCTTATTATTATTTTCTTCGATTTAACTACTTAATAAATCATTCATAATAAAATATATAAACTATAAGTGTTAATTTATTTATTTCTAAAAATAAAATAAAATAAGATATAGAATTAGAGTATTTTTGTCGATATTGATTGTTTGTGGATGTAATAGTACTCTAGATAGTAAATAAAAATATATGAAAACATATTTTATTGCCGTGTCCTTGCCATGTCCCATTTTTTCGAAATTGCCGTATCCCATATCTACATCTGTGTCCATATCCGTATCATATCCGTGTTTTGTACATAGACATAATTGTACATAATTACATGTATAACAGAAAAAAAAGAAAAGAAAAAAAGCGGTTACTTGCAATATATTAAATGAACAAACCTCACGGCAGCACCAAATCCATAGGGTATTGCATAGAGTGTTGCAATGGTATTGAGGCTGCTCATAAAAACAACCAAAATAAATAGTAAATAAATAAATTGTTGGAATTGTTGTACCAAACTCAATATCGCAATTCCGTAAGGTTAGAGACCTATACTTTTTATTTTACAAAATCATTCACAATGGACGTGTTAAAGAAGTTGGGCCCTACATCATTGGTTATATAATAAATCAGAAATTGACACACATCATATACCACATCATTATATATATAATTGTGTGAAATTTTTTGAGGGTCTCAAATATTTTTCTTCCTATTTATATTTTTGAATATTCAGAAATGTTGAGGATATTAATAATAAACTTTGTCATTCACTCTAACAGGTTAATCTTTTAGTTGAACTAGTATTGTGATAAAGAACATACCATACAGACAATACAGAAGTTTCAAGCTGTGGATTTGGTAAAAGCCCAGAAAGCAAGATAAGCAGCTCAAATGACCACCATTCAAGACTGCATTCATCACCATTTAGGAAAGGAAAAACCTCATAACTTTGTTTAACAAATTCACAAAAACAAATAAGTTAAATAATTGAAAAAATAAACAAATAAATAAAATTACCAAATCATAACAGCGGAAGGAATGGCAAAACTGAAGAACTCGCCAACTCCCCGTAACACCTCCATGGAAATTGGGACCCGAGTTGTTTCACAAGAAAAAGAGTACTTCATGTACAATACAAGGAAGATCACGTTCAACCAAATTGAAATATCAATTCCTAATGCACCTCCAAGGTTATCCAATCCGGACTTAAACACTAGAACCCAACAAAGAGTTATGTGGAAAGCAAGAGTGGCACATGAGCTTATAAGCATGGAAAGTGTCAAACTTTGCATTTGGAAGTATCGAAAAGGCGGTTGAAGAATCACATAAGCAAATAGGGCGGGAACAAGCCAAGTTATGAATTTACTAGCTTCATGTGAAATTAAAGGGTCTTGGCCTATGAAAATGAGTATTTTTCCCATAAAAATCCAGAATATGGAGAGAGGAAGATGCCCATTTTGGTGAAGCCGCTCAGATTCGATCCAACCGGGATGATGCCCAACTTCAGCTGCTCATATCTCCCCCACCCGGACTTGGCTTTAAGAGATTCTTGAGTGCAAAATGAAGCCCCAGAAGTAAGCTTTCCGATGGTGGTGGCCTCATAGCTAAACTCTAAGTGTACAGACAGATAAGCTTGATTCAGCGAGGGCTGCTCGACTCGCTTCTACCCGGATTCATGCCGAACTTCGCCATCCCTAACTGTAAGACAAATTGAAAATCTAGTTAATTAGTTACAATACCAATTCAAGATTAAGGTTTTGTTTGGCATGTGCTAAAATAGCACATTATCCTATTTAGATCACAATCATTTTATTTGGGTTATATCACCTCTCTACCACATCACTTCAAACTCAACTCATATTTTATGTTTTTTTTATAAAAAATAAAAAAGTATACTAATCTAGTACATTCTAAACAATCCCTAAATCTCTATTAGGTTACTCGAGTTGAATCATTTGTTTATTTTCTTGTTATATCCACATAAATTGTATATGTTTGTATATTTTTGTGGTCATTCTAAGGACTAAATCTAGAGGTCTAAGTGTTCGATGGTTGCAGATGAGATAGTTTCTTCCTGGTGTGATATCTAAGTTTGAATCTTACTGTTTCGTGAAGAAACAACTTTTCCTTACTCTATTTTTCTCGTACCAATTGTAAAAATAAAAAATGGACTAATAACCATCTAAAGAAAACTTCAGTCATGTAATGGCCTATGACATTTTCAATATAGAATAAGGAGTTCATAAACATCTTTTATGAACATCACAGCCAGGGCCAGCAATCACTAACAACGTTTTCCTAGCTTTTACTATGGCAACAAATTATTGTATGTGTGAAAACATGAAGTAACAATTATGTGTGTGTTGTATGTCAAGTAATTTTAAATTGACTAAAAAGCTGAAAATATTGCAAAAATTATGTACAACTGATGTAAGATAAGTATTTTGAGGTCTTGTTTGTTTGTCAAAATGGGAGTAGGAGAGGTAATAACGCAGAACTCGCTTGTTCTCTTGTATGGTATACAATATTTGATTATTATATTATGTTTAGTCAGAGGAAAATAAAAGAAGTGAATAAATTTAAAATTTTATTTTTGATCTCGTTGTGTGAAGCATGAGAGATACCACTTGATGGCCAAAAAGCAATTTTATTTTATTTTATTTATTTATTTATTTATTCATATTCAACTCTATTCCCGTCAAACAAACATAGCCAAATTGTCCATTCAAGACCCCCCAAGAAAATATATCAAACTAATAGAAACCTTCTCAAAATAATAATAAAGTTGAGAAGTTAAAAAATAATAATTACAAACACATAAAATCAGATATTTGAAAGATCAATTTGCTCCTTTCATCTTTATGTTCTTGTTTCAACTGTAAAAAACTTGCTACCAAATTGTAATTAAAATCCTCAATTCCCACTTATTTATTGTTTCCCCTGAACTAGGAAGCACGAATATGGATACAATACGATACGGATACGATGATACGGCAAAATTTGAAAAACTAAGATACGGTTACGACAAAGATACATTCGTAAAAAATATTTATTTTTACAATTTTTGGTAATGTAATATGCATAAAAATAAAACTTTAAACAAAAGACAACTTGATAAAAAAGAAAGATTCCTATAAAGCTAAGAGTCTTCAAAGTCAATAGCTTCAACTTGTTCCACTTGTTGAACCTAAACTTCCCGTATCCGAACTCATTTACTAAAATTTATAAATTTGGTAAAGAAATAAGACAAAACATTAATGTAGTTATCTTTTGGCATGAACATCAAAAAAAATTCAACAAATCAATTAAATTTCAACAATTCAATTCAATTAAATCTCTTAAATCTTTAAAGAGATAATTTGTAACAAATTACTGAAGGGAAAACATAAATTAACATTAAGAAGAAGATGCAACACAGGTACAAGAAAAAAATTTGAAGGGTAAATTTTTTATTATTGTTTAACAAGACTGGAATAGAGTAAATATACCTCGGATTAGGATTTCTTTTCAGCTTAGCTGGAAAAAAAAAATTCAAAGGGCAGAGAAACAGAGAGAGTGAGTGAGATTGAGCGAGAGAAAGAGACGGAGAGAGTGAGCAGGAGGGACAGAGAGATCGAGCGAGAGGGACAGAGAGAGAGAATGAGATCAAGCGATAAGAAGAGAGAGAACGAGAGAGAGAGAGAGAGATTGAGCGAGAGAAAGAGACAGAGAGAGTGAGCAGGAGGGATAGAGAGATCGAGCGAGAGGGAGAGAGAGAGAGAATGAGATCAAGCGATAAGAAGAGAGAGAACGAGAGAGAGAGAGAGAGAGAGGGAGAATGAGATTGAGCAAGAGGAACAGAAAGATCGAGCAAGCGAGAGAGAGAGAGGGGGAGAGATGACAAACCTTGATTGACTTCTCCTCTTCCTCCTCCTCCTCCTTGCTACTATTCACGGACCTTGTAATAGAGACGATAGAGATGATGACGACGACTCCTCCACCTTGCTGCTGTTCGCGAGCCTTGAACTAGGGCTTGGTTGATTTTTTTATTTTATTTTAAATCACTTTTGTTATTTTACGTTTTGACCCCATTATAAGTTTTTAAATTATTTTTTCGGCCTGCCATATCTCAAAAGTATCCCAAGCGTATCCCTAAAGTATCCTCGCATATCCCAAATGTATCCGAAATTCAAAAAATTAAAAAAAAATTAAGATACTTCTTTGTTGTATCTGATACGTATCCTGCCGTTTTGAACGCATATTCATATCTAATACATATCCAACATACATACGGAAGTCATTTCGGAGTATCCTTGCTTCATAGCCCTGAACAATGCTAGCTGAAAATTGCGCCCTTTTCTTTGTTTAGTATTTCATTTTGTGAAGTAAGGTATACTTGGTTCACTTGACCAAAATGTCCTCATCCATGGACATGTGTCAGTTAGAGGAGGCCACTGTGGATGCTGCCTATTCATTTAAAAAATTATAGAAATTTTAAAGTCTTACTTACATTTTTATATTTTTGTAATTACTTGCACTTCCTAAAGTCTTATTTGAGAATCTCTAAATAACTAGCTTTTTATTTAAAAGTCAAAAGTAAAAAATCTTGGGATAATTTCAAAAAAGTGGTGTGTAGACAAAATCATTTTAAAATAATGGAAGTACAAGTCGTTCATACATAAATTTATGCAATAAAAATTTATACTATCATCATTTTAAAATTATTTTTTCTACCCTAAACTTTTTTGAAAAGCAATTTTTTTTTTTTTTGGTTGAAAATGATAACAATTTTGTTTAAAGACAATTTACCATATGTACTTTGATAAGCTTTGATGATGTAATGAGAGTTCCAAAATACTATCAAGATAATATGATAATTTTTCCAAAAAAAAAATTACTCACAAAACCATTTTCATAACAAAAAAATAATTAATTAATTAATTTTTAACAATTACTAAATGTATTAACTTTTAAAATTAAAAAATATATATATTATTGAAAACATAATTCTCAAACCCCACCTTATTGACAATCTTAAAAACATTTGGGGTGCAATATATGTTTGACCCTCTAATTTTTAAAAAAGGGCACACTACATGACAAATGATTGAAAGAGTGACTATGTTTGGAGAGCAATAATACATTACTTTAATTTTGAAATTCTAATCGAGTTTTAATAATGTGACCAAAAAAAAGTCAAAACATCACATCAATAAGTGGATTCCACCCTCTAGAGTAGAGCTCCCAAATATTTTTGTTGGAGAAAATGTGCCCAATTACTTTGACAATAGTTTTAAAAAGAGTATTTTCTTGGCTTCCCAGGTTTTGAATGATGAATTTGTTAGTTTTAATGTCATTAACCAAGATTAGAAATCTGTCTAACATCAATTCCATGGAGACTCTTAACTAATATTGTAAAGTGTGTTTTAAGAGATACTCTTCAGTCACGGAAGCACAAAATTGTGCGGGAATAATACGAATATAAAAGGGGAATAGTTTAGGAAGTATAGATATGGATACGAGATACGAATTCGACACGATATGAATACAGCGATATGGCAAAACTTAAAAAAATAGGATACCGGTACATCTAGGATATGTTTGTAAAAAATATATTTTTTAAAATTATTAATAATGAGTTACACATAAGGTAAAGAACGTTGAGAAACCACAATATAATTTTATAATATAAAATACTAACTTTTAAGAATTTTGTATTAATTTAAGCTAGTAACTTGTTTACTTTTTAAATTTTAAATAAGTCTTGCAAATATTTCATTTCAATATGAAGTTTAATATTTATATTATAATAATAGAACAATTCACAACTTGTCCCTATGCTTTTTCCTTTGACACTAGTGAAAATATTATATTCAAGTTTACTTATTTATTTATTGATATTTAATTTTACCATTGTTATATTCTCTTGTTCATTCTTACTTTTTATGTAGTTATAGGGGACATGCATGAAATAATTAAAATACATCAATTTGATAAATTCTATTATTTAACTCACTATACTCTTCTTATTAAAGAACTTAACAAAGTATTAGAAAAATATTCTTATATTTGTACTTGTAATTATATTATATTATATTATATTACTATGCAAGAAATGTTACAATTCTAATTTCATAAAACAAGTAAACATGACTTGAAATATCCGATACTTCAAAATTAAGTATCCGATATGTATCCGCGAGTATCCAAGGAGTATCGGTATCCGATACGGATACGTCATCCTATTTGAAGTATCCGTGTTTCATAGGAAATAATAATGTTAGAGATCCTAAATATTTTATCAATATTTTTACTAAATGTCTCATATAAGTGTGGGACGTGAGATATTTCGTAGAAATATTGGCAAAATATTTAGGGTCCTAACATTTTTCAAACAGAAAGAGTAAGTAAATTTGTAATAAAATTAATACAATTCAAATTACAAAAGGAAAAGGAACAAAAAAACAAATTTATAATAAAATTAATACAA